TCAGAACTTTCGGTCACCGAAATCTTTTCTCAGTCAAAAATTCGGTCCTGCTTTCTTCTTTCGGTGAAATTAATTGAGGTGGGCCCACCCACTTTATTTGCTTTCAAAATTTTCGGTTGCCACTCAACCCGTCCCTTTCAATAATCTCCTACTTAAAGACTGATTTTAATCTGTCTTCACATCTTGATCTATGCAGCAGTTCTTCCCCGATCTTGATACTATTGCAGGCCAACTGAAGCTGAACACAACTTCAGTTTGTCAGTAGTCACCGTCTTTGTCAGCATGTCTGTCGGATTATGAGCTCCACTGATCTTTTCAAGTTTTAAAATTTTATCTTTCAAAAGTGATCGGATAAAATGATATTGCACCTGTATATGCTTCGTTCTGGAATGAAAAGACGAATTCTTGACCAAATGAATAGCACTTTGACTGTCGTAATATAAGACATTGTCTTCTTGTTTCTTGCCTAATTTATCCAAGAAACTTTGAAGCTAAACCATTTCCTTGCTAGCTTATGTGACAGCGACATATTCTGCTTCAGTTGTAAAGAGAGCACCTATCTTCTACAGTTAAAAAACATAACTTACTGCAGTACCTCCTAGAGTATAGACATACAATGTAGTGCTTCTTCTGATATCAATATTTTCTGCTAAATCAGCATCCACATAACCTGTTAGTATTGTATCTTCACCTTTAAAACAAAGTGCTTTACCTATGATGTCCCGTAGATATCTGAGAATCCATTTGACTGCTTTCTAGTGTACCTTGTCTGGATTATTCATGTACCTACTAACAGCTCCCACTGCTTGAGCAATATTTGGCCTTGTACAAACCATGGTATACATCAGACTTCTAATTGTTGAGGCGTACAGGACCTTCACCATGTGTACATGCTCTTCTTCTATCTTCGGTGACTGTTCTTTGGAAAGTCTAAAATGAACACCTAAAGCTGTACTTACTGATTTAGCATCTTGCATATTAAACCATGAGAGTACTTTGTTGATGTACTCAGCCTGTGATAACATCATAGTCTCAAACTTCGTGTCTCTCTTGATTCTCTTTCTAAGAATCTGCTTTGCAATGCCAAGATTTTTCATTACGAACTGCTTTGTTAATTTTTGCTTCAAATTTATAATCTCTTGCAGATCTGAACCTGCAACGAGCATGTCATCAACGTATAACAATAAAATAATGAAGCTATTATCAAATCTTTTGAGATAGCAACAATGATCTGCTTAGTAACTAGTAAAACCGTTGTTGCTCATAAATCTGTTAAACTTCTTGTACCACTGCATGGTAGCTTGTTTTAATCCATACAAGCTCTTTTTCAAACGACATACTAAAATTTTCTTGCCCGCCTTTATGAAGCCTTCTGGTTGCTTCATATAGATCTTCTCCTCTAAATCACCATGAAGAAAAGCTATTTTTACATCTAACTGCTCAATATGTAAATTCTCAGCAACTATAATTTTCAACACCAGTCTGATTGTAATCAGTTTCATGATCGAAGAGAAAATTTCATTGTAGTCAATACCTTCTTCTTGCTGAAAGCCTTTGACAACCAATCTTGCCTGGTAGCGCTTGTTCCCATCATGCTCTTTTTTTATCCTGTAAATCCACTAGTTATGAAGAGTTTTCTTACCTGGTGGTAATTCAACTAAGTCCCACGTCTGATTTGACATAAGCAAGTCAATCTCATCTTGCATAACAGACTCCCACTTGACTGAATTCTCCACCTGCATTGCTTCATCATAACATTTTGGTTCACCACTGTCGGTCAGTAACAAATAGTGCAAAGAAGGCGAATAACGCTAAGTTGGCTTAGGAATTCTGAAGGAGCGTCTTAATTCTGGCGTGCTTGGTTCTTCTTGAACTACTTCAGGACTAGTCTGGACATCATTTTCAGAAATCTCCTCAAATTCAGCAAATTTCTTTGTTTTAACTTTTGTACTGGAGCTACTTGATTCTGCAGTTGATCTGTCTTTGTACATCATATTCTCATTGAATATGACATCTCTGCTTCTGATGATCTTCTGATTTTTATAATCTTAAAACTGGTAACCAAACTCATCACCACTATAACCAACAAAAACACATTTGTTAGATTTGGTATCAAGTTTATTTCTTTAATAGAATCTATGTGTACATAAGAGATACAACCAAAAACTCTTAAATGCGAAAGGTTTACCTCTTTCCTGCTCCAAGCTTCTTCTGGTATTTCACCGTCCAAGGAAACTGAGGGCCCGTAGCTGATTAGGTAGGCTGTGGTATTGATAGCTTCAGCCTATAGGAACTTAGGCAAGCCAACATGTATCCTCATGCTTCTGGCACGTTCATTCAAAGTTCTGTTTATGCGCTCCGCTACGTCATTCTGCTACGGTGTCATGGGAATTGTTTTCTCCATCTTGATCTGTGCAAAATTCTTTGAATCTTCTATCTTTGTACTCTCCTCCATTATCTGACCTCAACCGCTTTATCTTCAAATCAATTTCTTTTTCCACTATGGCCTTCCATTTTGTGAAGGTATCAAAAACTTCTGATTTCTTCTTTGGAAAATAGATCCACACCTTTCTTATAGAATTATCAATGAAGGTGACATAGTACAGTGAGCCTGTAAGAGATGGAATTAGAGATGGTCTCCATACGTCGGTATGAACCAGTTCTAACTTTTCTGCCTTGGGTGTCTTGTCAATCTTTGCAAAACTAACTTTTTTTGTTTGTCAAAGATGCAATCCTCGCATAGGCTAACATCTACATTCTTCAGATCCGGCAGCTTTTTTTTGACAGAAGTGTCTTCATCCCTTTCTTACTCATATGGCCATGTCTTTGGTGTCATATGTTTGATTTTTCATCTGTATCTGTTACTGCAATGATATTCTCTAAGTTAGAGATTACATATAGAGTACCGGCTTTCTTACCTCGAGTAATGATGAGTGCTCCTTTGGTAATCTTCCATTCATGACCTGAGAAGGTTGTACAGTAACCCTCTCTATCAAACTGTCCCACGGAGATCAAATTCCTTTTAAGGCCAAGAATATGTCTCACTCCTTGCAGCTTTCATATGGTCTGATTTGGTAATTTTAATCGGATGTCTCCTTTGCCAACGATCTTTAAGGTTTCATCATCTGCTAGATGTACCTTTTCGAAATCACCGCTGATATAGTTCTTCATGATTTCTCGGTATGGGGTGGCATGGAAGGATGCCCCTGACTCAAGAATTCATGATTCAATCAGACTGTTGACGCTTAGAATCATAGCATCACCTCCTTCCTCGGTCACGTTGGCAGACTCATGTGCGTCGGTATTTTTCTTCGGTGCCCGGCACTCCCTCTTGAAATGACTCTTCTTGCCATAATTATAGCAGTTGAAATCTTTCTTTCCCGATCTAGATTTGCTCCTTCTAGATTTTGATCTGCCGCGATTTGAACTTCTTTCTAAAGTTCTCCCCCTAGACTCCATGTGTAAAGCTGAAGAGGTTGATGCTTCACCCGATTCTCTCCGTCGAATTCTTCAATAAGAATCAGATCATGAACATCATCAAATTTTAACTTATTGCTTCCTGACGAGCTACTCACAGCTGTGACAGTAGCATTCTAACTTTCTGGTAGAGAAGATAAAAGTATCAATGGTCGTACTTCTTCATCAAACTCAATTCCAACTAAACTCAACTGGCTTGTGACTGTATTGAGTTCATTGAGATGTTGAGCTACTGATGTGCCTTCTGTCATCCGCAAATTGAACAACCGTCTCATCAAGTGAACTTTATTTGAGGCAGAGGGTTTCTCATACATGCTGCAGAGAGCCGTCATAAAACCCGTCATGGTCTTTTCCTTTGCTATGTTGAAAGTAACGTTGCGGGATAACGTCGCGGGATAACGTCAATCGGATAACTCTAAGGGCTTGTCTGTTGAAAAGAGCCCACTCTTTATCCTTCATGTCAGCTGGCTTACTTCCTGAGAGAGGTTGATACAGTTTCTTCTGGTACAAATAATCTTCGATCTGCATCTTTCAAAAGCCGAAGTATGCACCATCGAACTTCTCAATTTTCACATTCTCTTCGTCTGCAGCCATCGCTCTCACTCGAATTTGACACCCTCTGGATCGTTTCTGACTGTTTTGTGAACCACCGTGTATTAAGACACCTCTGCTGACAAATCGGTACCGCCAGTAAAGTTTTACTATTCACAAAATTTTCTATTCACATGAATAGTGACCTTGCAGAAAATTGACAGAAATCACAAGCAGAGCTCTGATACCAGTTGTTGAAAAATTATGCAAATTCTCCTATAACCAGATTTACGAGAAAGCAAAATAAAGGCGGAATAATAAGACACGCAAATTTAATGTGGTTCGGCACAAAATTACCTACGTTCATGGGCTGCTGCAGACCTTTTACTAAGGGGAGAAAATTTACAAACACTCTCACAAATACTCACAACCCAAATTTCACTCCGAAAATTACTTTCAATTTTCTCTCACTCTTCTATAAGAGAAGTTGTTTCTATGATGATTTTTTCTGAAGAGTTATAGGCATATTTATAATGTTTGGAAAAATATTATGCACTAATAAAATATTATTAGTGGTGGGGCCAGTAGTGAGCCCCATCATCACCTTTTTCCTTTTCAAAACTTTCGGCCACCGAAACTTTTTCTCAGTCAAAAATTTGGCCTTGTTTTCTTCTTTCGGTCAAATTAATTGAGGTGGGCCCGTCCACTTTATTTGCTTTCAAAATTTCCGGTTGCCACTCAGCCCGTCCCTTTCAACAAATTTAACAAAAACTTAGATCATGTACAGCTAAACATAAATGAACGGCACCTAAATAGGTAATAACAAGACAAAAGAAGCCTACTTTGCGCTGGATCATGGCATCACTAAGACTAACATTTCGACAGAAGTATTTGAGAAATGGTTCGATTAACATCAGTTAAGAAAGAGATTATCTTTTCCCTTTTAGCCAAACAAACATGAGTAATAAGACTGTATAAGACTTTCCACTTACTGACTCTCCTGATCGTCGAAGCAAACATTCCTTTGATTACCCCCTATCGACTTGTATGAAGCAAGGTTCTTATTCCCATTGGACGTATTTAATCCCTGATGCTGCAAGAAAATAGCCTTTAAACAATCAATGCATAACTTCCTCTTCCTACTTTTACAACCAGACTTTAATTAATGAAAAGCAAGTTGTACATTGAAAGATTTTTTTGGGTGTGTGTTCTC